CCCAGAGAACTTAGACAACAATACGAACACTAAGAGAGACTTACATAGACCTAATCTACATGAGAAGTAGAAAGTGTAAAAAGACAAGACCTCCTGAGTAAATTGGGAGCATGGGGACCTTGAGGGAAGATTGAAGGGGGAGGGGAGAGGCAGGGAAGGGAGCAGAGAAAAATGTAGAGCTTAATAAATATCAATAAAAAAAAAGAAAGAAAATTAAGAATATCAGAAAATGGAAAGATCTCCCATGCTCATGGATAGGTAGGATTAACATAGTAAAAAATAACAGTCTTATCAAAAGCAATCCATAGGTTCAATGCAGTACTTATCAAAATCCCAGCATAATTCTTCACAGACCTTAAAAGAAAATACTAAAGTCCATATGGAGAAACAAAAAACTGAGGATAGCCAAAACAACTCTGTACAGTAAAGGAACATCTGGAGGGATCACCATCCTGTAGGCCTAAATTTCTACATGGTGTGGTAGCCAGGCTATCAAGCCATATTTAGTACCTGAAGTACCATTCAGCTTTTCATCAACACCATTTAAGTGTTTTGTAGCAGGACCTCTTAAAAGAGCTGCAGGGTTTTTTTGTTTTGTTTTGTTTTGTTTTTTTGTTTTTTGTTTTTTTTTTGGTTTTTCGAGACAGGGTTTCTCTGTGGCTTTGGAGCCTGTCCTGGAACTAGCTCTTGTAGACCAGGCTGGTCTCGAACTCACAGAGATCCGCCTGCCTCTGCCTCCCGAGTGCTGGGATTAAAGGCGTGCGCCACCACCGCCCGGCCCCCACTTTCATTTTTAATTAGAAGAATGACAGCATGGGGCTGGAGGTGTAGCTTAGTGGTCGAGCGCCTGCCTGGTATTCTCGAGGCCCTGAGTTCAATCCACAGTACTGGAAACAACAATAAACCCGGAGTATAGCACAGTCCATGGGTACAGTTCAAAACAAAATGAAACAAGGAGAGTGTGGTGAGGTCTCAGTGAGTGGGTAAAGGGGCTTGCTGTCGAGCCTGACAGACCCCTGGAACCCACAGGGTGGAAGAAGAGAACCAACTCTCTCTCACGAGTTATCTATTCGCTTCTGCAGGTGTGCACCCCCCCCCCCGAAAGCCACGAAAATGACATAATCACAAAAAGCACAAAAATCCTCCCAGCAGTTGCTTATGAACAAATCACCTTTTTGTTTCCTCTGTGCCATACAATAACGCACACTGCAGTTTTCAAGGCAGGGAATAAAAACAGGCTCTTATTGTGGTGGCTTCTTGTGACCTCCGACTTGTTTGTCCAGACACGGGGCCCACACGCCCCTGCTTTACCTTGGGCTCTGCTACCCGTCCAATGCTCCCTTCTGGTGACTGCGCCTTTGTTCCTGCTGCAGCCTGCTTCCTCTAAGCTTGGATGTGGGGGTACTCACCTGGAAGGTCAATGGCCACAGCCCGGTAGCCCCTCTTGGACAACAGCTGCAGCGTGCCCAGCTGCTCCCAAGTGTGGGAATTAAATGCCTTTCCATGGAGAAACACGACTTCTGCCCTGCAGACATATGGGGGAAGATGAGGCATGGGACCTGGGCAGGCATCTTTCACTGCCCTCCAGGTTCCTGAGCCCCACAGGTTGGGCTGGAGTCCCTCCATTAAACCCTTGGGTGCTCCTCACCTCTGTGCCCGCTGGATAGGCAGCGCCTCCCGGTAAAAGATTTGAGGGTTGCCTCGGGTGAGACCAGCCTGGACTGTGACATTGGGGCCTCTCGAGAGCTGGGAAGTCTTCTCAGAGGGGCCAGGCAGCCCCACATAGAGGAGAAGCATAAGCAGCAGGCCTAGACCCAGCAGGGCTGCCTGGTACCGGCTCATGAAGGCCTGGATCACACAGCCTAGAGGAGAAAAGAGGAGAGACAGGCTGAGGAAGACCTTTAGCCCTCCTCCCTTTCTTGATCTGGAAGAATAGCTCATACCCAGCTACTATTCAGGCCAGGGCAAAGGCCTGGCACACTCCACTCTGTGGAGAAGTGCATGAGATGGCCCTCTGCCACAAGCATGGTTGGTTGGGTTTGTTTTTGTTTTTATTGCTTTTCCAGACAGGGTTTCTCTGTAGCTTTGGAGCCTGTCCTGGAATTTGTTCTTGTAGACCAGGCTGGCCTCGAACTCCCAGAGATCCGCCTGCCTCTGCCTCCCAAGTGCTGGGATTAAAGGTGTGCACCACCACCGCCTGACTTCGGCACAGGCATGTTTAATGGCCACCACCATCGCTGTGGGAACTACACAGCTCTTCTGGCTGTGGCCTCCATGCTTGACTTTCTACACTCAGCACTCAGAGGCCCCAAGAAAACACAGGGAGCGGATATGACTACAGGTCTTTGGCACAAAGGAATCTAGGCTCACAGGTGAAATTCTCACCGCAGCAGAAGAGACACGGGGCCCGGCCATGTGTGTTCTGGAAGAAACCAGCACTGGCAGGAGATGGATGAACTGGAGACACAGAGGTGATGGAGGGGTAGAGGCTGCCGAGGGCCAACGAGCACAGAGGGACCACTGAGCGCATGCCCGGAAATGACACTCTCCTCACGATGACTAGAAAACTGCTAAAAACAGAATGCCTTGCACAATGGGAGCGGATAGTTCAGGGTCACCCCAGCCATTATGGATCATTTCACAGAGAAAGTTGGGGATAATGCTGAGGCCTGAGGCATTGGGGGCTAGAAGGAGTGTAGCTGGCCTAGAAAAGGACCAGCTTCCACCCCACTTCTGCCAAATGACCTGCTTCATGAACTCCTCCAGTATGGTGTCTTTGTTAGCCCGGAGGGGACCTCAAGCAGGGCAGGCAGGTGGTCTTGTTTTAGAATTCCCCTCTATCACTAGTTGATTTTGGTAACTTGGGATAAGCTCCTCCTGGCACCTGCCCAAGTTTCTTGTGCGGTTTACATAATACACTCCACCTAAGCAGGTGGGGATGGGATGTCCCCGTCATTTATTGGCCTAAGATGAACATGCTTGTCTTGTTTCTGGGACTCTGAACTCATTTTTTTCTTTCTTGTTTTTTTTTTTTTTTTTATTCTGGGACAGGGTTTCTTTTAGCTCTGGCTGTCCTGAAACTCACTCTGTAGACCTGGCTGGTCTTGAACTTAAGAGATTCACTTGCATCTTCCTCCCAGGTGATGTCACTAAAGGCATGCACCACCACCGCCTGGCTCTGAATGCATTTTTACTAAGTGTAAATGCAGTCTGTGGTAGGCCTAGGAGCAGAGCTATGGCCCGCACTGCGCCACACCCACCTCTGCTGACTCTGGAGGACTCTTCTGAAGATCTCACTTTCTAGCTCCGAAGTCAGGTAGTGTGGGGGCAGCAGCAGATCCTTCAGTGCTGATGGGAAGTCAGGAGCCAGGCGGAGAAAGAGCACACTCTTCTTCCTAACCTGGAGCAGCCAAGGATGTCTTCCTCCAACGTAGCTTTAGCTCAGGTTCCCATGAGGCGGAGCATCTGTGAAGGCCCTCTCTAAGTGGTCCACCAGGGGCAAACCTGTGCTTCTTTTCAGGGTGAAGGGGTGGGGTTTTATTCGTTGCCATGGCAACCCAGAATGCCCAAGACTAGACGATGTAGGGGTTCTGATGCAGATTGCTCCACAGGTGGGGGAAGGGAGGAAAGTAAACAAACTGCTTGCTCTGGATACTAGAATACACAGATATTTACACACACTCACACAGACACAAGAATCTTGCTTCCACAAACTTCAAGAAGCTAATCGCTGGGGGCTAGAGAGATGGCTCAGAGGTTAAGAGCACTGACTGCTCTTCAAGAGGTCATGAGTTCAATTCCCAGTGGTTCACAACCATATAATAATGAGATCTGGTGCCCTCTTCTGGTGCGCAGGCATACATGCAGGCAGAACATTGTATACATAATACCTTTAGAAAAGGGAAGCTATTCTGAAAATGTACAGCAGCCTCTGCACACACATTGGCACACACATGCAATTGTTGTGTTAACAGTCCCCTCAGAGGCCAAAACTGCAGTGGAGCTCCTTAAGCAGGGAGGCAAAAAAGAACTCCCTGAAACTGACCAGATTCACTAGGCCCCTCCCTACTTGAGTAGACAATAAAGGGTGAAACTCTTTCTCAGACCAAACAATGCTAAGCTGCCAAGAAGACTCTTTAGAGCTCAGGTGAACTGCCTGGAAAGGACCCGCTCCATCCTGTTGAGAGGCCTGCAGGCTGTGCAGGGTGTTCCAAATGTTTCCCAGTTTTTGTGAACTGTCACCCATACTAGGGTGGGCTTTCTATAAATAATTCATCCCTTATCCATATTTCTGTTAGGTAACCCCAATCAAAGTCATTGGCTCAGTGAGTCTGTCATGGCTCCCTCCCTGGGGTGAGTAGACAAGTATGTTTTCTCCCCAGGAAAAGTTTTGCCACACAACAGCCAGTTAGCAGGAAGGCAGAGAGACCAACACGTGTATTTCAAAGCCATATGTAAGACAGGCATGGTGACCTATGGCTTTAATCCCAGCACTCAGGAAACAGAGGCAGGAGGATCTCTGTGAGTTTGAGGCCAGCCTTGTTTACATAGGGGGTTCCAGATCAGCTAGGGTTACATAGAGAGACACCCTTTCAAAAAAGAAAAACAAAACAAAACAAAAAACAACCCATACACAGGCACGGAAGCTAGAGAGATCGAGGCAGGAGGATTATAAGTTGAGGTCAGCTGGGCTGTTTGGCAAGACAGTCTCAAAGCAAACAAACAAACAAAACCAAACACCCACAGCACCACATGCATACCCTCCTCGTGGTATTCAAACACAAAATCACACCCAACCCTTAAACCACACATAAACACACAGTCCCAGGCTCAGAGTGCAGCACTCAAGGAGAGGGATCCAGGCAAATTTGAGAGCTAGGGCTTCATAGCAAGACCCTGTCACAAAGAACAACAAAAACCCAAAACAAAAAAACCAGCAACAACGATAACAACAAAGACAGAAACAAGTGCCCAAACTCAGGAGTACTGGATGGTCAAGAACTACCTGGGCAATGTAGTGAGACCATGAACTAAAATAAATAAGGGACTCGGTGGGTAAAGGCACTTGCTGCCAAGCCTGACAATCCCTGTAACTCACACGCTGAAAGATGAACAGACGCAAGCAAGTTGTTCTCTGACCTCCTCCGTGTTCGCAAAGACCCAGGGAAAGACAAGCTACCTGGCAAGGGGGAGAAGGGACAGGCATGGGAAGAAATGCACCAGCAGAGGGACACACATAAACCTTCAGAAATACGCAGATGCAGAGATAAATACAAAAAAGCATACAAGCAAGCAGCCAGACCAGTGAACACCCCACCCCCACCCCACCCAACCCTCGGCAAAGGAGAAGAGAAACACTTAAACCCAGACGGTCAAGAACACACGCAGACACTCGCGCGCGCACAGCGCAGCAACACTGCACACGTGTTGCCCAGCGCTTGCACCTTCCAATGGACTCTGCCCCAAGCGGTGGGGACAAGGACGGCGATCCCCGGACAACAAGCGGGCCGCCTTCCCGGGAGACACTCACCGCGCTAACAGGAGTGACGGTGACGGTGACGAGGCGGGGCCCGGCCGAGGCTCAGCCAACAGCCTACCGGCCTGGGGAGTGTGGCACTGCCTCCGCCTTGGTAACCGGCGGGTCAAAGTCGGACTACCCCCTGAGCGCTTGCGCAGTACGCAGCTGCAGGCCTTGCCTGATTACCCAAGGAAGACTTGGGGCGGTGCCCCGAGGCCCGCCTCTCCAGGCCCAGATTTTAGGAATTGTTAAGGAAGGGCTTGAGGTTTGAGAGTCTGTGGAGAGCCACCCGGTTCTTCATTTTTAAAATCGTTTTGTTTGCAAAATGAGGTTTAGGAAAGGACCCACCGCATGGGGATGTCATAGGATGTAAGGACAGGTCACTCGGAACACCGAGGCCTCCTGGCACCGAGGTCTCCTAGTGTAAATGCCAGATGATGTTATTGTCATGCGGCAGCTCCAGGCTTCCGTCTAAACACTTTCTTTACTCGCCCCATTCCCCTGCCGGGTCAGAGCTTTAGTGGGGCCTCTGAGCTCCCGGTCTGCTCAGGACACCAACTATTGGTTGGCAGCCTGTGATCAACATCTGGTCTGCCCCAGGTTCAGGCTTCTGTGTTACAACCAGGCCTCGGGGCAGGGACGCCATGAAAGGTGCAAAAGGTTCACTATTTGTTGATGCTTTGCCAAGGCTGACATTAACCAGAATAGCATTAATCATTCTACAGGCTCGGAAAGGATTCCCATGCCACCTGGCTGAACTTTTGGCAGAGCCTTACACACTGATATGTAGGATGTCAGCTTCATGACAGGTGCACAGCTCGTCCTGGATTGTCCTGACTCGGGGTGAGGGCGGTTTAGGGGGGCGGACTGCAGGGATACCAGAAATAGCTTTCCCCTCATAGCAGGCCACTTCCGTGTGGGGCAGATAGCTGAGAATTTCAAGACCTTCAGCCTGGCTCTTGGGGGACATGGGGGTTGGGGCGGGGAAACAGGTTAGGTGGGAGAAGAACGAAGGGTTAAGGTGCGGACGAGTCTAGTGATAGTTTGTGACCGAAAGAGGGCGCCCGGAACCCTCAGGTCTGTCTCCACCTCCTGCCCGGCCCCTCTCCAACTTCTCTCCCCACCCGCCTACAGGCCTCGCCATTCTCCTGCCGAAGACCACGCAGATTTCCAGGTACCGCTCTGCGCTCTCGACTCTTTCTTTGCGTCTTCACTCAGAACCCACCTGCCCCAAGTCTTCTCAACTCGGCTCTCCAGGTCACCTCTCTCTGGGCTGCCCCTCCTTCCCGTGCTTCCTTCAGACAGACCCAGGGATCCGGAATTGTGGGGTGCTGTGGACAGACAGACCTCGGGTGACTGCAGCGTCAACCGGTTGGGCTCCAGCGGCCAGCGCGCTGAGAACCCCGCGCCCCTGGCAGTCAGAAACTTCCAAAGTCTTTGCCGACTGGTGCATGTGTTTCTGTCTCTGGAAAATGGGCCTTCATCCCAAACAAACTTGGTCTCACTCCTACCTGTATTTATTGCCAGCCCACCCACTCCACGGTAGTGCTAGGCTAGATGGTGCTGATCAAGATAGTGTTTAACCTCGATTGAGCACTTACTATGTGCCAGACATGTATCAAGGTTTTTTTTAAATGCATAGCTTCATTTAATCCTATCCACTGTCTATGAACTAGTATTGAATAGTTCCATATATATTCCAATACAATACGAAATACCAGTTTTTCCTACCAGCAGATTCTCAACTGCGGGTGTGACCCACCCAGATGCATAGCTTTTCTTTTTTTTTTTTTCTTTTGGTTTCTTTTGTGTAACGGCGCTGGCTGTCCTGGAACTCGCTTTGTAGATCAGAATGGCCTAGAAGTCACAGAGATCCACTCACCTCTCTGCCTCCCAATTACTGGGATTAAAAGCGTGTGTCACCACACAAAGCTTTCTTCCTTCCTTCTTTTCTTCTTTCCTTTCTTTCTCTTTTTCCCCTGAGACACAGTTTCTCTGTGTAGCCCTGTCTATCCTGGAACTCACTATAGACCAGGGTGGCTTTGAGATTTGCCTGCCTCTGCTCCTGAGTGCTGGGACTAAAGGCTTGGGCCACCACTACCCAGCTCATATAGGTTTTTTTTTTTTGTTTGTTTGTTTTTGTTTTTCAAGACAGGGCTTCTCTGTGTAACAGCCCTAGCTGTCTTGGAGCTAGCTCTGCTGGCCTCGAACTCACAGAGATCCACTTGCCTCTGCCTCCCAAGTGCTGGGATTAAAGGCATGTGTCACCACCACCTGACTAGTTTTTCTTAATATTTATTTATTTATTTATTTATTTATTTATTTATTTATTTATTTATTATTGGGGTGGGGGTTGAGACAGGGTTTCACTGTGTAGCCCTACCTGTCCTGGAACTCCCAGAGATTCGCTGCCTCTGTTTCCCAGGTGCTGGGATTAAAGGCGTGCACCACCATCGCCTGACAGCTTGTCTTAAATTCTTAAGTGACATTCCTAATTCTGCCATTGTTCAGTCAGTTGAAGCCCAATATCACATAACGGAGTGGGAGAGGCAGAAATAGTAGCTGCTTTTCCTGACCTTAATTCAGCTCCTAGAGACCTGGTGGTCACCTAACTGCTCCCTGCTGTCTCCCAGGCAGGGTGCTCTTTCACCCACTGCTCATCAGCCTGGCTTTGAACTGCAGGCACATCACCATCGAGCATGGCCAGTGTGGACCAGCATGAGGGCACCATCCAGGTGCAAGGCCAGGGCCTCTTCTTCAGAGAGGCTCGGCCTGGCAGTGGACAGGCTGCTCGCTTCTCTGTGCTGCTGTTGCATGGTATCCGCTTCTCCTCTGAGACCTGGCAGAACCTGGGTACTCTGCGTAGGCTGGCTGAGGCTGGCTACAGGGCTGTGGCCATTGACCTACCAGGTACTTCTGGGGGTGGGCTCCTGGGCCAGGGTTGGGGAAAACTTAAGGACGGAGAAATGGAAGGATTTAGCTAGGCAGGGCCCTGAACTTGACTAGGCACACAGCGCGTGGACCTTTGAACCTTTGTCTAGTCTTGCTTTAGTAGGGTCGATACACTGCCCAGTTGCTTCTCACTATTACCGAACCTGTGTCTCAATGTTTCTGGGCTTCACTTCCCTCATCTGTAGTGAAAGGTACCACACTCCTGCTGGTGACTATCCCTAGTGAGCACAGGATGAGGTTCTCGGTGTGAATGTATCAGCTAATACTTGAGGGCTGGTAACGGGTGCACAGGCTGCTGGAAGCACTATCAGTAAGTCCTCCAGAGCCTTGGGAAGCGAGGCAGGGCCTGATGGATGGCTAAGGACCTGGTCACTTACATGCAAGCAGAGTCCTTGGGCACTGCAGAAGGCAGGAATAGCTTCCAGATTGCCTGTCACAACCTGGATCACCAGGCCCCGCCCATCTTAATGTCTAGTGAAGAATTGGAGGCATAGCTATCTGCGGGATCTAATCCCCTCACCGACTAGGGCTGGTGGCTGATGTGGTTTCAGGTTTCAAGGGCAGATCTCCAGTCTGGCCAGGCTTGCTTCCAGCAGAGGGTTGGGCTGAGCTTCAGGGTAAAGGTCTACAGCTAATGTTGTTAAAGGTGGGGACTGACTGGCAGGTCCCAGTGTAGAAGCATTTATGTCAGGTTCGATCCTCCAGGAGGGCTAGGTGCCTTCCAACAGTTAATTAATTTTCACAAGTTTAAACGGCAGGAACGTTCCTCATCCCTTTTCAACAGAGAGGGGAAACTGGGCAGCTGAGGAGGGCTGAGAGGCCTGACCTATGGTCATCTTTATAGTAAATGGAGACCTGGGACACAGAGCTGATAGACTCCAGAGCTTGACTCTTTCCGGGACATTGTTAGTATGAATGCAAACATGGAAAGTAATGTCCCGCTCTTGTTACAAATATAATACACTAGGCTGTGGGTGTGAATGAATGCAGCCCACTGGTGTTACACGAACCTGGGCACCCAAAGATCGACCTAGGAGCACATGCTGGAAGAAGGGATCCTTCTCATTCATTGCCCTTGTCTCTCCTACACCTGAATCCCTGCAGGTCTTGGCCATTCCAAAGAAGCAGCAGCCCCTGCCCCTATCGGGGAATTGGCCCCTGGCAGCTTCCTAGCATCCGTGGTGGATGCCTTGGAGCTGGGACCCCCAGTTGTGATCAGTCCATCCTTAAGTGGAATGTATGCACTGCCCTTCCTTGTGGCCCCTGGGTCCCAGCTCCGGGGTTATGTCCCAGTGGCTCCCATCTGCACAGACAAAATCAGCGCTGCTGACTATGCCAGTGTTAAGGTATCTTGTGTGTGTGTGTTTAAAGCTGAGATGGCATGTTAGGAGCAAGTGGGAACCATCCCTGGGCCTTCCTCATCTGGTGGCTGGGTAACCAAAGGGGTGGTTTCTGGGGAGATCTGACCACCTAACTCCTTTTGTTTGGCTTGTTAGATTACTATGTATAAAATGTGTAGTGGGGAAAGTACACCCACTGGACCAGCTTGTCTCCAGGTGGGCAGGAAGAGACTAAAGTGGTGATGAGGGCTGAAGCTGACCTTTAAAGGCTGGGGCTGGTGTGGCGAGCTCCTTGATTCTTTCTTTCTTTTTTTTTTCTTTTTTTCTTTTTTCTTTTTTGGTTTTTCGAGACAGGGTTTCTCTGTGGTTTTGGAGCCTGTCCTGGAACTAGCTCTTGTAGACCAGGCTGGTCTCGAACTCACAGAGATCCGCCTGCCTCTGCCGTCTGAGTGCTAGGATTAAAGGCGTGCACCACCACCGCCCGGCTCCTTGATTCTTTCTTCCTTTCCTTCCTCTCAGACTCCAGCTCTGATTGTATATGGAGACCAGGACCCCATGGGTTCCTCCAGCTTTCAACACCTGAAGCAGCTGCCCAACCACAGAGTGCTGGTCATGGAGGGGGCGGGGCATCCCTGTTACCTGGACAAGCCTGAGGAGTGGCACACAGGGCTGCTGGATTTCCTGCAGGGACTAGCATGAGACTCAGTCCTGCTGATAGGGGTGACAGCCTGCCCGTTCTGGGATCTCTCGCTGGCTTCTCCCGGTCTCACCTGCCACAGGTCTGTCTATTCTGTCTGTACATCTGTCTGGGCCCCTGTCACTTCTGCTTTTCTCTTGCAGCTGCAGATCGGATCAAGGAGGTAAATCAAGGGGGAAAAGCCTCGGATTTAGGGGAGAAACCTAATTGTGGGTAATCCATGAGCTTCTCCTTGCTTGGCTCTCACCGCTTAGCTTACGTTCCGCCACCTCCTTCTTCAGCTGCAGGCCAGACATTCCCTTAACTTCCCTACCCCTCTTAGGCCATAGATAACAGACATGTATGAACTTGTTTAGATTCATCCCACACCCAAACAGAACCCTTCCCTTGGGAGCACATGGATCCCCATGATTGGACTGATACCCACATTCCTTTTTTTTTGGGGGGGGGAGTTTTTCCAGACAGGGTTTCATTGTGTAGCCTTAGTCCAGGAACTAGTTCTTGTAGACCAGGCTGGCCTTCAACTCACAGAGACTCGCCTGCCTCTGCCTCCCAAGTGCTGGGATTAAAGGTGTGCGCCACCACCATTGTCTTGAGCAGCCTTGCACAGGTACATGTGCAATCCCTGTGAAGGAAGGTGGGGGAACCTCTTTCTGAGCCAGTCTTTGTAAAAGATCCGCTTGCCAGATTAAAGATGGAGCCAGCCCTAGATTTCTCTCACCTACACGTTGCAACTGGTCCCAGGCCAGAATTGCTTCCTTCCTCAGAAGGGGAGGTGCACCCCTCTGCCTTTCAAATATACCCGTTTTACTTTCCCCCTTCCTTTTTGGGGGCTGTACAGCTCCCCAGGTCATCAAGCCTGACTCTTCTTAGCCAAGCCTGTTTCCTGCTGTGAGGTTTGGGGGTGGGGTGGGGAGACCGACTGTGTAGGTCCCTGAAATAAAGTGATGCTATTAGACCTCACATGCTTTTGCTGTCTCTGTCTCAGCCCGGGCCGCTCCTCCCCCTTCCCCTAGGGACTGCCACTGCGGGCTCCTCCCCCACTCTGGCGGGACCAGATGGTCCCCCTGCCCTTTGTCCACTAGGCCAGATGGAGGGAAAGGGAGATTGGATTCCCCTCCCCACCCACACACACCCAGGTGCCAAGAGATTCAGTTTAGGCGGGGAGGTGGAGGTCAGTGGGGCCCGCATGAGCCGATTACCCAAAGGGGGAGAATATCTGCTCTGAGATGGGGGAGGGGGAGCTCAGTATACACACACACACACACACACACACACACACACACTCCTATGCCTTTCCTAGTAAAGGATTTAATGGCGCTCTGTTCCTTACAACCCTAGCTCCAAAAGGAATTTGGCAGTAGACTTGGGGGATCACGGGACAGGGTGCTAAGGGCCACACCGCTCTCTCAGGCCCCTCCTCCAGTCGGGTAACCTGTCCTGGGTGGACTAGGGCCGGACAGTGAGGAAGCTGTAGGTGGCCCGTTTTGTTGGGCTGGACCCCAGAGTGAAGGATGGCGAAGAAGCGAGAGCCCGGGCAGGGCGGAGGGCCGTGGGACAGAAGCCGGGAGGCGCGGCCAGGGCTGAGATGAAGGCTGCGGCGAGTTGGGCAGGAGCACCGGGCGGGAAGGACGGGCCCAGAGAGAGCCACACTGGGAGGATCCTGAGGTCCTGGTGAGCCGCAGGGGAAAGGTCCATGGCTCCCTCCCGGAAGCAGCGGCCGCTCGGGACGCTGGACCGCGCGGCGCGGAGCGGGGCGGGGCGGGGCGGGGCGGGCGGCTGCGGCACTGGGGCTGCTGGGGCGGGCCCGCCGCGCTGTAATCGGATCCGGGAGGGGGCGGGGCGGGGCCGGGCCAGGCGGGCCGGGGGGTGGGGGTGGGGGGGCGCGGAGCCGGGCTCCGGGCCGGCCGGGCTCCGCGCCTGTCAAACCCCTCATTGTTCGCAGCTGATGTCACTCGCAGTTGTGAGCGGCCGCCTTTCCCGGGGACAATGTGGGACTGAGCGGCCCAGCCGCCGCGCCGCCGCTGCCGCCGCCGCAGAACAACCCCTGCGAGGTAAGGCGAGGGCCGGGCGGGGCACCGCGGGTCATGAAGTTTGGGGGTTCGCTGGGGAGGAGGATCCGCTCCTGTGTGCACCGACCGCGATCCTGGGGGAACTGCGAGGAGCACGGTCCCTGTCCAGTTCGGCTGAGGCCTGCACAGGTGGGGGGCGTTGGTTTTCCAGGGGAACACCCCACTTCAGGGAGGGATTTCTTGGACCTTAGGTACCAGGTTTGAGGCTCCCATCCTATTCGCTGTTTTTGTCCTTTGAGCTTGCTCTTCGTTCTAGACCTCATGGCCCAGGTTCGGGTTCTACTTCATCTCTCTTCTCATCTGCCATTCTCTGCAGCTCCTGGCTCACACACCCCTTCCCATTCTCTGCAGTCCTTGGAGGAGCCAGACTCCAGGCCAAGGTGGGGGGGGGGGCGGGATGGAGAGCACAAAGTGGTCCCTCATTCCCTGTGGCTCTTCATTCCAGCTCTTGGCCTGGGTACTGTGATGGGGCGGAGGTGGAGGTGAAGGGGCTCTGCTACTTCCTTCAACCTGGCCCTCATGCATGCCTGGCCAGGAGAGGGAGGTGCCCACCTCCTCACTCTCCTAAACCAGGCCCGCCATCTTGAGACCTGTGGCACCCAGGGCCCCGCCCCATCCTGGCACCCAAGGGAATGGTCTTCAAGGGGATGCATCATGGTCCACTCACACCGCTTCCCTCAGGATGTGTGGCTGTGGGTCCCCACCAAGCCCAGGATGGTTACCTTTTTTCTGGACCAACAAGGCATGTGTCCCCAGAGACCCTTCTTCCCCTTGTAAAGAGCTCTCAGACCCCAGGCATTGGTCAGGAGTTGGTCTCTGACTCAGGCTGTTCAGGGGGGTCACCCTGGTGGCCTCAGAGCCAGCACCTGGGGGGGGGGTCTATTGTTTCTTCATTTGAGGATATTATCCCTCTAGGTCCTGGAACCCCCTCAACTTTCAAAGCACCCCATCCCAGCCCCCACCCCCTAGCCTTCATCAGCATGCAGGCTCAGGCTGCCCAAACACAAGGGGATTGTTCTCTTTGCATGCTCAGGGTGGGGGGCTGGGAGCAGGCGGCCCACACACCCTGGCAGGCCCAGGCCGCAGAGAGGCTGGCCTGCCCCACCCTATGGCCCCAGACAGGCTCCGTCCACCTCCTACTCTCATCCCTGTTCTCCTCCAGTCTCTATCACCACTACTTAGCTCTTGATGGAAAGGGGTCTGGGCTGTCCAGGTGGACCCATGGGTTCTCCTGGCCTGCCTGTCACATCCTATGCAGCCTTCTAAACAACTCCCTTCCTCCTTAGGCCTCAGGTTCGCCTCCTGATTGGTGAGGCTTTTCTAGTTGTGATTGGTTGAACCCACCTCAATGCTGTGAGACCCATCTCACACCAGGGCATTTCTACCCGCTCCTCTCCCTGCTGGGGGACCTATTCTGGTCTCTCAGAACTCTCAAATTCCTCACTTCAGCAACATGCCGAGCGAGCCCCTAGGCCTGGGAGATCAGCAGGAACAGGCTGGGATGCTGGGCCGGAACTTGGAATTCTGACCAGGCATGTCCTGATTCTGCCATGTGCTTACAGCCCCAACACTCTGAGGTGTGATGATCTGCAGTGTTCCAGGGCCTGTGAGCCCTAACTCCCCCCTTCCCTGGGGCCAGATCCTGTTTCAGATTTCCTATTCTTCTGTAGCAGAAAGATATAGGCTCAGAAATGCCCACTGGGCCTCTTTTGACTTGTAGCTGTGTCTTTGGGAAGCACAGAGGTCAGAGAAATTTCATTTGAATTGAAAGGTTGGAAGGCTCCAAGGAGGAGGAGGCATTTGAGAAGACTTCTGCCAGAGAGTGAAGGGGATAAGTATTTCGAGCTGGGAGTGTCAGCCAGGCAAAGACTCTGTCTGAGGTTCTAGACCTATTTTGTGGCCTGGGATGAGGCAGAGGTGCGACAAGAGAAGCTGGAAGGGGCTGGACCTTGGAGGCCTCCGTTGCTGGTGCATAGAGGTCAGGTTTTATCCCTTGGGTCCTGGGGATCCATGGATGGTTGGGAAACAGCAGAGTGAGCATAGTCTTCGGCATGGAGCATGGCGATTGGAGAGCTTTTTCAACTTGGATAGACAGTAGCACTGAGCAGGGCCTGAGCCTGCCTTGGTTTCCCTCTGCCATGTCTTCATGTCTGCCATGTCTTGGGCGACTCCAGGGGGAATAGCATTCCTGGCACCACCAGTTTATCATCTTCTATGTTCCTCTTCCCTGGCATTGTACCAGACAGACTTGAATCAAGAAACCAGAGTCTACAACTGCTCCCCTAGTTTCCGTGTCCGCTCCCCCCCCCCCCCCCCCCCCCCCCCCCCCCCCCCCCCCCCCCCCCCCCCCCCCCCCCCCCCCCCCGCCGGACCCCCCCCCCCGTCTCCTCCCTCCTAACTACGGATGATTGGCCATCCTGGGAGGTTGAAAGGTTGAGGTGGGTGCATGAGTCTGAGGATGCTGGGCAGTTTTGTGGAGACCAGGCTAACCAGCAAGGGTGAGCATGCCCAGAGGACGGGATGAACAAGGGAGCCAGGAGGTCTCAAGGCCGCCACCCCCCTCACCCAGGCCTAGTGGCCACCCTCCTGCCACACCCTGCCATGCCCGATGCTTAGCCATTCCCCAGCTTTATCGGGTGTGGCCAGCCTGACTGTTTTCGGATTAAGGGTTGAAGGAGGCTACTTAGGAGTGCTAAGGTGGGCATGAGATATGAGGTGAAGTTGGAGACTGGATTCCCCCAACCTTCTGCAGCCCAGGTGGGTCCACAGTCTCTAGTGGTCCAGACACACTGAACAGAGGGAATCCCCCGAGGGGCGGGACAGCCTGCTTGGTTCAACTGGCCCCAGAGCCCTCCCCTCCCCTGGATTGTTCTTACACTAGAACAAAGCCAGGGAGGACACTTGATCCCTGCATGGGGGGGGGGGCTGGCTAAGCCCCCGGCCCTTTGATTGGACAGCTGTCATAGGAGAGAGACAGCTGGGGGGAGGGGCAGGAAGGGGGCAGCCTTCGCTTACACAGCTGTCACCCCCCCCCCAGCCCCTCCAGCCGGAGTGGCAGGAAGCCAGGTTCAGAAGGAATAGGCACTTGGACTGGGGAGGGGGCCTGGGAAGCAGAAGAAGGAAGAACCGAGGTCAGAGGATTGGTCTGAGAGTGGGATGTTCTGCCAGGGAGCTCTGCTGACCAGAGGGGGCTGGGCACCCTCAGAGGTGAGCTGGAGGTCAGTGTGGCATGCTGTGTGGCTGCCACGTGGGTGGCCTAGCAGAGACCTGGGGCCCCACTGGACTGAAGCGGCAAGATACTCCTTAAAACCCCAGTGCAAACAGGGCATCTGGTAATGAATGCCCATTGAGGCTATTTATGCTTAGGACTCTGGGAGAAGGGCCTGGAGGAGGGTCAGGAGCCTCCTTCTTTCCAAAAGATAGGAAAAACTCAAGGGTCTCTTGGAACACGGAGATACCAGCAACTAACTCCCTTACCCTGACTTCCCAAACAGTGCAGGTGGGTAAATCCAGATCCAGGCCAGGGAAGGCCAAGGTCACCTATTGAATTTGGGGCAGTGGGTCTCTGCTGCAGACCTAGGCATCTTCCTAGCGAGACTAACAGTTTTGCCCACAGTCCATTTTTTCCTGGGGTCACAAGAAGTGCTAGGAAGACTGCTTTCAGATCTCCCACAGTTTGTCACTCAATTAAGGGTCCACGGAATTCTGGAGCTTAAGATCCTATGGCCCCAGATAAGCCATCAGCGTTTTCCAAACAAGATGACTGTCCACCGGCCAGGCAGAGGCTCCCCAGGCCACTGGAATCTAGATCCCACTTCAGAAAAGGACTAAAAGACCAAGACCGGAACAGCTATAAATGGGCCCCGAATGGAGCCTGGTCCGGTCCTACAGGAGCTTGTTGGCCCCATTCTTCCCACTTCACCCCTTCTTTCTGTGACCTTGGGCAGGTTACAGACCCTCCTGTGGCGCAAATTCATTTGCTCCTGTCCCTGATAGTACCCTCTCCAGCCTGGCTCTGGACTGAGCGCTGGGGACACAAGGAGAAGGTGGCAGCTTTGGCTCCTGTTCTAAGGGGCTCCCGGGCTTGGCTGTCCAGGGAGACAAACTATGCGCGTCATCACAGGCGCTTTGATGGGGGAAGTGCAGGCAGCCAGGGGAATGTCTAGCAAGGGCAGCCAGCGCAGGGCTGGCCAGGGTGCCCAAAGAACACAGGCCCCGAATCTATTGCTGGTCTCTACCCTGTGGCGAGTTCTATGGCTGAACTCAAATGGAAGAAGTGGGCACCTGAGAAAAAACATGTGGGGACAATGCTGCCATCCTGACTGTCCCTATCCAAGGAGGAAAGGAGACTGCAGTTTGGAACAGTGGCTCATTCAGGTATCCAAGAGAAAGCGAGGTTGGGAACTCCCTAACCACTCCATACCCAAACTCTGGCTAGCACAAGACATTCAGAGGAAGGCTTTGGGCAGAGCTCTGAAACCTGGACCCTCATGTCTGGATAGGACAGAGGGCTGACAAAGGATTCCCATTGGGGACCACTTATCCTTTGTCCCAACACCCTTCTAGGCAGAAAGAATTCCTATGGTTAGTGATGTCTGGGTCCAGATTCTCTACTGGCACCAGTTGGTTCCATTGTCCTCCTCGAGTTCTAGTCCCCAGTGAGCTCACCATCAAGGCTGGGCCATGGCGGGAGACAGCCGCTGCTGAAGGATTTCTGAGGAGGATTAAGGTTCAGGATTAAGTTGAGGCATGAAAAGGGGTCCAGTGGGGAGGGTTGGCGGCTAAACTAATCCTGGTAGATAATCTCAGGCTCGGCCTTGCTCCATCAGTTAATGGCCTTGACATTCCTGCAGCCCACCAAATCCTTCTCTTATCCATTACCAGTCCCAGGGAGACAGATCGTCTCTGATGTGTATGGGAATGGAGCCCCGGTGCCATGTCTCTGGTACAGTAGTGTGCTCTAGGTGGGGTATGTGGCCAGTCTTCACACTTTGTGCCTCCTGCGCACGGGGCCATTCTGAGAACATAGGAAAGAGATCAGAGAGAGATGTAGAGAGAGCCTACCTTTTCCCCATGTAGTTGTTGAGCGGGTCATGCCTCATGTGGTCTGCAGTGACCTTCTCCTCTAATGGCCCCGAGTCATTGGGAAGTCGCCTTCTGGGCCTCCTGTCCCAAACCTTTGCTAGGCTTCAGCTTCCTCTTTGGCCTCTTCTCCACCACCGTTAAGCCAGCCAGCCAGCCCTGGCCTCTGGAAGCAGGTACCTCATATTTAGGGTAAACTTCTCTTTCCTTTTTTGAAGCTGGGTCTCACTATATAGCCAAGGCTACCCTTGAATGAGAGCCTCCTGCCTTAGACTGGGTACATCTAGGTTTATAGGCCTGGGCTACTGTGCCTGGCCCAGAGTAAGGTTTTATCCTTGATTCCACAGTGGAGGCTCAATCTACGGGAACCTTCCCTTCCAAGTGAGGGAGGAAGCCATCCTGTGGTTTCTCATAGCTGTCCAGACCTCTTCATTAAGTCCCTCTCCTCACATTCTGGTGCCCAGACCTAGGACCATATATATTCTAGACAAGCATTCAACCAGTGAGCTCTAATTCCCTGGCATCTTTCAAGACTTGGGAGGAAGGGAAATTGAGTATCTGTCATAAGATTGTCTCATTTTTTTTTAACTCTTATATATTTAGAGGATAGGATTTGGTAGTTGTTTTCTGGGTTGGATGACTGAGGTCCAGAAGGCTTCAGTGACCAGGATTACACAGCCAGGAAGAAGCGCACAAATACAATGGTCAGAAGGACATTTAGAATTCAAGGCCCAGGCTATCTCCCTCCTCTTTGAGCTTGGCTGGCCTGGTTCTGCGGTCCCCATGTAAGCAGTGGCGAGGTAACTAGGGCTCCTCTCAGCCTCTCTTTTCTGCTGCCCTGTCCACAGCCAGCTGAGCCACAGCCACAGCGTGGACACACTCCCAGGCCACTGTGGCCCCAGCCCCGCCTGACAGAATGAGCAGTTCAGATGCGGGGCTGGAGGAGGAGCCAGAGCTTAGCATCACTCTCACGCTGCGGATGTTGATGCATGGGAAGGTGAGTGGGTGGGGCTGGCAGAGCCCTGGGGCAGCACATGTCTGGTCTCAGTGGGTTTCCCTTCCTGAGCCCGGGGCATTCATACCCATCTGAGTCCTCTTTTGTTATCTCTACAGGAAGTGGGCAGCATCATTGGGAAGGTAGGTGTCCAGTTTTCTGTATGTTCCCCACAACTTGAGCCTCAGCCCTGGTTAAGGTGCGACCACTTAGGAATCTTGGTTTTTGTCTCCCACAGAAGGGAGAGACTGTAAAGAGAATCCGGGAGCAGGTAAAGATGGGGTCAGGGGAGGAGCCCAGGGCCCTGATGTTGAAGGGAAGGGAGGTGGCCATCCTTTCCTCTGAATCACCGCACCTGGGATAAGTGAGTGCCCAGAAGAATGCCAGTTTCTAGTACTGGGGCAGGCAGACAGATCCCTGGCACCACAGTGGGGAGGATGCCTGCTGCCCGGCGCTTGTCCCACACCTGCAGAGCAGTGCCAGGATAACCATCTCTGAGGGCTCCTGCCCTGAGCGGATTACTACCATCACCGGCTCTACAGCTGCCGTCTTCCATGCCGTCTCCATGATTGCCTTCAAGCTGGATGAGGTTTGTGCCTAACTGGGGTGGGAGTCTGAGGGTGGCTGCCTGTGAGAAACTTGACCCTGTCTCCAGATAGTGGCTATGGGGGAGAGAAGGTCAAGTCCAAGGCCGTGTTCTCTTGGAGGAGGTCTGGGAAGGAGGGTTTCTCCCTATCCCTCTTCAGGAAAGTACTTGAGGGAGTAGCAGGGGCATATGTGGCCGACTCACTGTCTCTCTGCCCCAGGACCTTTGTGCTGCTCCTGCAAATGGCGGCAGTGTCTCCAGACCTCCGGTGACCTTGCGCCTTGTCATCCCTGCCAGCCAGTGTGGATCACTGATTGGGAAGGCAGGCACCAAAATCAAGGAGATCCGAGAGGTGAGCAGAGAGAGGTCACCCATGGGCGTCTGTCTTCTACCCATCAAGGGGAGAGGGAACTAGAGCTCCGGAGCTGCCCTTTCTCTTGGCTATTGGAGTCGACAGAAGTGGGTACTATTTTCTATTTGTAGACTACGGGAGCCCAGGTGCAGGTGGCAGGGGACCTGCTCCCCAATTCCACAGAGCGTGCTGTTACCGTGTCTGGGGTGCCTGATGCCATCATCCTGTGTGTGCGCCAGATATGTGCTGTTATTCTGGAGGTGCTTCCCAGAGTCGGGGGTGGGATGGGGACTGGGGGTGGGCAGCCAGGGGGAGGGCAGGAGAGGGCTCCAGGTGCTTGTCACCATCCAGACCCTATGGCTGTAACATCAGGTGGGGTGGGGCAAGCAGAGCTACAGCCATGGACTGATTATAAGCTTAAGGCACTCTGGGATACATTTTCATGGAAGCCATGGGAATGCCTTAAGGCCATTGGATTCTTGGGGAGGCCTGATTGACAAAGCTTTTCCATTTGTGTCTTCTAGTCCCCGCCCAAAGGAGCCACTATCCCATATCATCCAAGCCTCTCCCTAGGTACTGTCCTGCTCTCTGCCAACCAGGTGAGGGCAGCATCAGGAGAGGCTAGGAGCCTTACTGGAGACGGGGGAGGGGAATCAAGGTGGAGGAGGGAGTGGACTAGAAAATTGGGGGGGGGTGTCTGCAGAGGGCACATGGAGTGATCTGGCCAAACTATCTGGCCTGTCACAGCAGCTCCCTTTTCAACCGTTTTGCCCCACAGGGTTTCTCTGTCCAGGGTCAGTATGGAGCAGTGGCCCCTGCAGAGGTGAGTGACCCACAGCCTGAGACACCCCTTCCTGAATTGCCCCCTCTAACCTCTGACCCTGTTCTCTGGCTCAGGTCACCAAGCTCCAGCAGCTCTCAGGCCACGCAGTTCCCTTTGCCTCAGCCAGTGTGGTGCCAGGTAAGCAGTTCCGGCTAAAGGAGGCAGGAGGGGCTGGGCATCCCTGCAGTGGACATGGGAGGCCCATAGAGAACCAGAACCACGCTCAGTCCTTCTCTTCTGCCTCAGGACTGGATCCCAGCACACAGACCAGCTCGCAGGAGTTCCTGGTTCCCAATGATGTGAGCAGAAGGTGGGGGGCTGGAGGGTGGTGAAGGGATCCAGGGGCCTAGACCTTGCTCAGGGCTAAATTCTGCCTTCCCCCTAGCTGATTGGCTGTGTGATCGGACGCCAGGGCAGCAAGATCAGCGAGATCCGGCAGATGTCAGGGGCACATATTAAGATTGGGAACCAAGCAGAGGGTGCTGGGGAGCGGCATGTGACCATCACTGGCTCACCCGTATCCATTGCCCTGGCTCAGTACCTCATCACTGCCTGGTGAGCACGGGGCGGGCGGTGGGAGAGCATGGGTGGGAAGGAAGGGATAACCTCCTGTCTCTCTGGACCAATCTCCTGCTGCTCCTCAGCCCCTCTCTTTTTCCTGCTGTATTCTTCCTAAGTCATTCATGTGCCTCATTTATTACTCCTGTATCCACCCCTCATGTCCTGTCTCCCCACTGTTGGTTTTTCCTGGGTCCTTCCTAGTTTTCTTCTTACCCCAAGTTATATCTGCTTGTATTTTCTACCCTCCCTGCCTTTGTACCTTTGCTATTCTTGCCCGAAACACCCCCACCCCGTACCACTGTTCCCCTCCCATCTTTTGGCTAACCTCATGGCCCCTGTCTCATCCCCACCTTTCCTTTCACCTCCCCTCTGTGTCCCTCTCTCCAGTCTAGAGACGGCCAAGTCTACCTCTGGGGGGACACCTGGCTCAGCCCCCGCAGACCTGCCCACCCCTTTCTCGCCACCCCTGACGGCCCTGCCCACAGCTCCCCCAGGCCTGCTGGGCACACCTTATGCCATCTCCCTCTCCAACTTCATCGGCCTCAAGCCTGTGCCCTTCTTGGCTCTACCACCTGCTTCCCCAGGGCCACCGCCGGGCTTGGCGGCCTACACTGCCAAGATGGCAGCGGCCAATGGGAGCAAGAAAGCTGAACGGCAGAAATTCTCTCCCTACTGAGGCCGGCTGAGGCCCAGGCCGGGGCAGGCAGGACCACCAGCAGGGGCTGCCTCCACGTCCTTCCTGCCCAAGGAGACTCTACCATGGGGTCTCAAGCGCCAGTAATGCCAGACGCATGGATGCACCCCCTACCCTGCTCCATCTTTGGAGTTCCTCCTCAGAGAGGGGACAGTTTCTGGCCCGGGGTTCTAGGAGCTATGGCAGCCCCAGAGCAGGGGCTCCACCCCCTCAGACCTATGCTTGGAAGCCGGGAATGGCCGGGGCCTCTAGTGCCCTGAGGTGGGAGGCTGCTCATGTCCTCCATCCCTTTGGGCCTTTGGCCTGCTGCCCCAGTGGGAACTGGAGGAGAGTGAGGGGTGGCTGGGGCCAAGCTTCTCTTCATCCCCTGCAGATTCTGCTGCTTCCACTGATACCCTTTTGACTGGAATAGACTGGCTGGGCTTGTCAGGGGGCAACCCAAAGAGAGGGCTCTGCCTATTGCGGGGGGAGTGGCCTGGGGCAGGGGCCCAGGTCTCAGCAGCAGATTCTCTGTACAGTTTTTTCAATCCCTGTTTTTGAATAAATATTCTCAGCGACCAGAAAGCCATGAAATAATACTACTGTTGGGGTAACAAAACTTCCAGGGGGAGGGTGTAGCTGGAACCCCGAAGAACCTCAATCTGTGAATGCAGCCCCTTTTGATCCACAGCCCTTTCCACATGTCAGTTCTGGGGTGAAATCGCAGGGCCCTTTCAGGGGTCATGTGTTCAGTCTCCTGTCTTCAGCACCAAACCTTAGTCGGGCTGTTTGCTGAGCCGTCTGAGTAATGAGTTTGAGTCTGACTGTCCGACGTCCCCATGGCACAGATGGCGGGGATATCTTCTGAATGTCTCTCCACTGGTTCCTCCTGCTGTGGCTGTAACCTGGACCCTCATCCTTTGGCTGTGAGCTCTTAGGACCCATCTCTCTGTGACCACGCCTGCATTTCTCCCCTTTGGGCCAGAGAGTACCCATGAATTTAAAAAGCATACACTGGAGGGGTCCTTAGG